GTGTATAATACTAAGGGTCATCATAATTTACACAAAGAGTCCCTATCATCAATTTTTCTAAAACTTAATATTTGATTAAGCAGCTAATAAACACAAACAGATGGTGTATGTTGTGACTTCATTGCTCTGTGAAGTTTCAGAGCCTTCTCAAAGTTTATCTCAGGTAACTTTTTCTGCACATAAAGGAACCAACCTAAATGTTACTTCAGTAGAAAGGCTTCTTCTGATCTTCAATCTAAATATGTTTTTCTAAATTTCCTTCTCATGGCATGTATTTGTGTGTGTGTGTGTGCGCGCGCGCGTGCACGCGCGTGTCATAGCTCTTGTTCTTGATCACATGTTTATGTCTGTTGGTTTATAACAATTTCCCCCTCATTAGACAATAGCTCATAGGACTGGGTGTATAGTATTTATACTCTATAGTAAGTCCCAAACATATAGTAGGTATTGAAGTAATATAATCATTTAAAGGGTCCAGAACACTAGGTTAAAGCATTTAGCCTTTACATCTAAGACAGTCACAGAAGAATTTTAAACAGGGTTAAGCCTTCTTGGGCTTCAGTGAAGGATGAAGCATGAACTGGAAAGTATACACTTAGAGGCCAGGTGCTCCTTTAGAAAAGGGATTGAAACAATCTAAGAAATTGGGAAGATCTAAATTAAGGAAGTTTAATGCCAATATAGGAATAATTCCAAAGATACGTAAAATTAGATGATTTTAACTGAAGTAGAGTATGCCTTAAGGGAAACAATGAGAATAAAATTTGATATTGGATTTTAGAGCAAACTGTAAAATTTTGATGCTATACCAAGACATTTGCAGTTTTTTCTCTGAGAAGTAGAAAGTCAATGAAGAATTTTGAAAATTAAATTTTGTTTGTCTTTCATTTGCTTACTTGCATGTTTTAAATCATCTTGATTATGAAAACTAAGTTATTAAAACACATGAATTGGACTTCTGAGGACCATAGGAAAGTTGAAGTTTTAGTTCTATGAGTTAATACTCTCAAATGTAACCTTAAGTATCTAGAAGCAAGGTCATCTCAATGAAAAATTTTGGGATGCAGACAGCTATTGTCAAATGAACTTCCTTTATCATCATTATCATTACCATCACAATCATCACCATCACAACCCCCAACGACAGTAATGGCAGCAATGACAACCACAACATCAACAAACACTTGTTGGAAAATTATTATGTAAGATACTGCAGTAGGTTCTTGAATACATACAAATCTGGTATAGTCCCCGACATCGAAAAAGTAAAATACATGCATTAAAATAACACTAGTCATGTAGAGGAGCATGTGATAAAATGAGTATTAAGGAAATAATTTATCCTGGAGTTTAAAGAGAGAATTGTTCATAGCCCAAAATGTCTTTAGAAAAAGCTTCATGGAGAAGGTGACACTTGAATTGGTCTTTGAGGAAGAAACACATTCAGACAAATATAAATGTACCTACTGAGACAGGAGGTACTACAAGAGTAGAAGAGGAAGTTCCTATGACCTCTTCTAAGGACAAATAGACCAGTATACAAATAAGAGTGTTTTGACCAAACCATAGAGTTCATAAGGAAAAATAAAATAAATATTCAGATAGCTGGATAGAAACAGATTTTAAGGTATTTTAAAAATAAGATACTTTACTACAAATAAAGAATAAACTAAGGTTTATTTTGAGGAAAGTGGGGAACCACTTATATGTTTAGAACAAAGTAGCTGCTTGTAGAAAGTTGTGTTTTAAGATTTAGAGAATGAACATAATGAGCATGTTCAAGGTGAAACTTAGGGTTAAAATTCTGGTTGAAGAGACCACTGTGATGGCAATATTTTTTTAATACAGGAAAAGGAGAACCTGATGTAAGAAATCAGATGAATGGAATAATATGAATTTCTTTCTCTTACATTTTACTAGGAAAAATTTCAAACAATATTAAAGAGAATATAATGAACCCCCAAATATTCACCACTCAGCTTCAAAAATTATCAATTCATGACTAATCTTATTTTATCTTTATTCTTGCCTACCTACTTTACCTTCAGATTTTTTGAAGCCAATCATCATTTCACTTCACCTATTTATTTAATATAAGTTTCTAAAAGATAAGGAATAATGAAAAATAAACAACCATAATACCATTTTCATACCTAAAAAATCAATAAATTTTTAACAATCCCGAACATACAGTGTTTAGATTTCCTCAATTTTTATACAAAATTTCTTTATAATTAATTTCTTTGAATTATTGTCCAAATAAGGCCCATTCACTTCAGTTGGTCAATGTTTCTGAAATCTCTTTAAATCTTCAGTTTCATCTTTCACTTCTTTTTTCTTGAAACACAGTCTCTATTTTGCTGACTACATACTCAGGGTAGGATTTGCTGTGCACTTCTGTTTCCTATGTATTCCTGAAAATGGTGGTTGAATTTAAAATCTTGAACAGATTTGGGTTCAATTTTTTTTGGCCAGAACTGGGCCAGGCACTATGGCTCATGCCTATAATCCCAGCATTTTGGGAGACCAAGGACAGTAGATGGCTTGAGCCCAGGAATTCGAGACCAGCTTGGGCAACATGGTAAACCCTGTATCAAAAAAAAAAAAATTACATATAGCTGAACATGGCATGCACCCTTAGTGCCAGCTACTTCTTTGGAGAGTGAAATGGGGGAATCATTTGAGCCCAGAAGGTCGAGGCTGTGATCTTGCCACTGCACTCCAGTCCAGGTGAACAGAGCAAAACCCTGTCTAAAAAAAAAAAACCGAAAAACAAAAACAAAAAGACAGAAACAGAAAACCAAAATAATTGTTTATAAGTTGTGTTATGTACTATTAGAGGAATATAATCTTTTGTTGTCTTTTGTTTCCTCGTTGGTATTATAGCAGTCATTACAAAATGGCAATATTCTACTTCAATCATTTATTAACTGAAATACTACTATAACAGGAAACTTTTCATCAATAATTTGATTACATTGATTTATAGCTCATTTAGAACATTCAGATGCCTATTGCTCTTTATAAAACAGTTTGCAAACTGATAAGTTGATTCCCTAGCATCTTCCTAAGTTGATTTCCTAACATCTTCCAAAGTTGACCAATGAGTTTTATTTCTTCATTTTTAAAGAACTGTTATGAGCTCATGGATTAGAATGTGTTTGGTATATTTCAATCTGTTGCAATTATCCTTATTTAAGTTGACTTCTGAGGCTTTTTGATGTAGCCCTGGAGCCTTTGAGAGTTTTCTCACATTCTTGTATGATACAATGCCCCGGGATCATCTTAAATTTCCTACCCAGAACTCGGAATCCTCTATTGCTCCAAGGAGGCTTTATTACTTGCATTATGAAATGATATTTAGAAATTACAATTTGAGTGCTAGAGGTGCTCATTACTATAGTATTGGAAATTGTATGTCTATATATACACATATAGACATATATACATACATATAGACATACATAAATATATATACATATATATATATATATATATTTCCAGAGGATGAACATAAGAAATGTGTATTTAGAAATACAAAATTTATTATGGCTTTATAAAGATGTTTCCAATTCAAATTCAGGAGTATGTGATTTTTTACCTTTATCTTACTTTTATTTCCTGTTTCTCTCATGTCAGCAATCCTGGCCTTTAACCATACTCATAAATCCTTATTTGTCTTTCCCTTACTACACATACAAGTCTCATAATAACAACATATCACTGACATCTACAAATATAATTCACAAACTATATTAATTATTTTAAAGTTTTTGAGTCTTAGAATATATCCAACCAAGGATACACAGTCAAGTTATTGTGTTTTAAAGTCACTGTAAATAGTGCTTCTCTCTGTATTGTGCCACTTGTCTGTCTCTTCATACACAGATTCAATATTGTATTAATTATAGGAGAGTTCAGCTGGGTGCAGTGGCTCACGCCTATAATCCCAGCATTTTGGGAGGCTGAGACCGGAGGATCACTTGAGGTTGGGAGTTCAGGATCAGCCTGGCCAACATGTAGAAATCCCGTCTCTACTAAAAATACAAAATTAGCCTTGGGTGGTGGTCCATGCCTATAATACCAGCTACTCGGGAGGCTGAGGCAGGAGAATCGCTTGAATCTGGGAGGCGGAGGTTGCGGTGAGCCAAGATTGCACCATTGCACTCCAGCCTGGGCAACAAGAGTGAAACTCCATCTTAATTAATTAATTATTTAAAGGAGGTTCATAATATGTGTAGACAACTTTTAGGGCTAGAATACTCTTACTGTTTTCTTTTTTAAGATTATCCTTTATTTCAGGGTTTTCCTTCCTTTTTTCAAACTGAACTCTGTTGAGCTTCAAAGAAAATGAAAACTAAAGGTATTTTTATGGAGACTGCATATTTAACACATTAATTCTTCCCACCCAAAGTAATGGTATGTCTTTCCACTTGTTCATTTCTACATTTGTGTCTTTCAGGATTGCTTTGGAGTCTTCTGGATATGAGAACATTATAAAAGGTGAAAAAGTAGAACGGAAATATGAAGGGAGAAATAGAGACAACCATAGTTTCAAGCCTCACTTAGAGAAGAAGGATTGTTCATTTGTTTGATGGTAATTGGGTCAATTGAGGAGTTTGACACAGAGAATAACAGTACCAGACCTGAGTCCAGTCTTAGCTTTAGTAGCAACAAAATGTATCCATCAAATTTATATAGGACCAAATACCAATGAAAGAAATTAGACATAATTGCTGAAAAAATAAATTATATGAGATAATTATTCACTCTACTTAGCCACATGACGTGAAAACCTATGCCCTTTAGAGCAAGCACAGTTCCATGCAAAACTGTAGGGAAGTTTTCTCACCCCTTTTTCACATGCTTCTCACATTGTAGCACCCCTCCTTGAAACCATCCTTCTTCTACTATCCTCCAGTTTCCTTCGGATTTGAATGTCCACATCATGCTATGGTCCTTTAGTCAGCTCCTGTGTCAGAAATCAGGGCCCTGCTCTGGGCTCTTCCCTCATCCTGTAACTATAGTCAGATAAGTTCTGTTAAGTCTGCTTCCTTAAAAGCTCTTAATAATCTTTTCCTCCTTTTCATTGCCATTGCCTATGGCACCATCTTATTCAGAACACCATTTTTCTTACCTATAATGTTGAAAGTAACTCTTCAACAGTCCTGTTGCTTGCTTTATCCCATTGCTGCTTGTTTAACAGATGTGGTGATATTTAGCCTATTTGTAATACCTTCAAATCATCCTATGTGCTGCCATCGACGTAATCTTTAAAATAACAAGATAAATATTTCTGTGACCTCCATTGTCTAAAGCATGTTTCCAATGTATATTGTAAAAAATGCCAAAGGGTTTCATGACAAATGCTATATACTATATTCTTGGGAGAGCCACAGGGTAAATTGGTTCTAAAGCGCTCTCTCTAGTAGAGGAAATTGTTAAAATGTGATCAGCCTAATAACATCATAATCATGTGATTATGAACAATTTTAACTGTACCTATTATTTTTTTCAAGCTATTGTTTTGCAGTATATTCAACCTATTGTCTCAAGTATATTTTTCAATATACTTGAGAGTATATTGACCTGAAGAGAAAAGTCCAAACTCCTATAACCTTACTATCGTTCTGACCTCATCTCTCACAGCTCCCTCTTATTCCTGGTGTTCTATCACATGATAATGAAATTCGAGAAAACAGTATTTATGTTACTGGGTGTGTGGGGCATTGAGGAAGCATGGAAAATGAGAGGGAAGTGGTAGAAGAATGACTTTTATCATGTGCCTCTAAGAGCAGACATATATGGATTGAGATCCACTTAAAAGGGAAAAGTTAAAAAAAGTCAAAACCCAGAAATCCCCACCATTCTGTGGATGCAATGTATATTTAATTGTCTAATAATAATAAATTTCCCACAATGTCAGACGTTAAGAGTACAAGAAAGAGTTACAAAAAGAAGAAGTTAGGGCTATAAATTGAAAAGTAAGTAGAGTTGAGGAAAATGCTTTGCCAGACTGAAGTTTTCTTCAATCTAGCAAAAAACGAGACAGGAGCAAAGGAACAAATTGCAAAGGCAATAGAGGGGAGATAATTAGCGTAGCTGATTACTAGAAGAGGATATTTGTATACTTATTTGTATGGTGTGTGTGTGTGTGTGTGTGTATGTGTGTGTATGTGTGGTGGTACTTGAAAGACAAATTGGAGTAGGGTAATATTTTGATTCTGTGCTCAATTCTCTTAACAATGACTCAGCTTGATAGGCTATTAATGTTTAATAGTCTCATATCTCTCCTATGCTATCAATAAGAATATCATTCTTCTCACTATAAAATTTTGTAGATCTCATTTGTCTTACGTTTTCACAAATATAACAAATACTTCTTATTCTTACTCTACAGCTCTGTGAACATTCAGAGTAAACTTTCTTAGGATTACTTATGAAAAAGAAAAGAATATTCACTCTATCTTGTATATACAAACCATGTTAACATTATTTCTAGATATAGAACTGACTGTGTATGATTTCAACTGTTATTCTGAACAAATTTAAGTAATTCTTTATTCTCAGCATATTGGCAACATGGAAATGCATTTTAGAGGTGCAGAGGCACAGAGGGAAATTTGAGCAAAATGAATCTGCCAGATATTTCTGCACAGTTTTCGTAATTCATTGTTAGGTCAGGTTTCATGGAGGGCAAAGGTCACATATTTCTTTTTTATATTGAAACAATCACAATATTATTTAAGTTTTTTCATAAAAATGTTTAATTTTATTCCAAAAAAATCTTTAAGTAAGGAGTAAGATTTCTGCATGATCTGCGAAATGAAGGTGGAACAGAATAGAAGGCCTCTTCATATAATGTCACCAAAGCATCCCGAAGTTTTATCCTGCCTGGAAAATTTCTTACACATGATTCTTATTGCTTAGCTTGAAATTGCACCTAGGAAGAATCTTTTGTTCTCAGTGCTGCCAAAACTTCCATCTTTCAGCAGTGACCTCAGTTTAGCACCTGCTCATAAGATGTGTTTGCACATCGTTGGTACGTTATAGTGACATATATGTTCTCATCTAGGAGATTGTCATAGAATTCAGGAGATGTTAACATTTTTCCATCTGTGTGTGTGAAAGTGACGTTTCCTGTTAATTTTGTTCTCTTGCTGAATTCTCCAAGCAAAAGCCTTCTGTGGGAGGCAGAATGATGTCATTATAGTCATAGCATAAAAATTTTCAACCTTTAGAATGAGACATATTGTGGCATATATATTACTACTTTTAAAAGCAGTGACACAAAAACTTGGAGGATGATGATATCAATTTTATATTTTCAAGTGTGGGGGTTTCCAGGAGACTTCAGAATGACTCCAGGACTCATAGTTCTCCTGGAACATGGTTTTCCACTGTAGCCTTAGAAGAGGAAAGCCCATCTATGGATCCTTATGTTTACGAGAATAGAGACTTGACTGTGCCTTCAGAAAAAAAAAAGGGGCTGTTTTTAGTAAAATTTTTCATGATTACATGATTTAAAGCAAAATAAATTAGACTTTTGATTTCAACTCTGTGTTAGTTAGAGTTCTCCAGATAAATGGAACCAATAAGAAATACATACAGGAAATGGCTCACATATTATGGTGGCTAAGAAGTTCTATGACCTGCTGTCTTCAAACTGGAGAACCATAAATGTCAATGGTGTAATTCAGTCTAAATCTGAAGGCCTAGGAATCAAGAGGAATGATGGTATAATTCCTGGTCTGAATCCAAAGACCTGCCAACCAGGAGCTCTGATGTCTAAAAGCAGGAGAAGATGTCCCAGTTCAAGCAGAAGGAACAAATTCATCCTTCATCTGCCTTCTTGTTCTATTTGTGTCCTCCATGGATTGGATGTTACCTGTCCACATTGGTGAGGGCACATCTTTTTTACTCAGTGTACTTATAGAAATGCTAATCTCTTCCAGAAACACCCTCACAGACATATCCAGAAGTAATATTTTAATAGTTATCTGCATATCCCTTAACATAATCTAGTTTACACATGAAATTAACCATCAGAAGCTCTGACATGTAAAATGCTTTTACTTTTTAAATACTTTTACTAGACACATGAGAGAACTGAGGTTCCAGAGTACACTGCTACCTTGAAATCTACAGAGACAGGCAAATATGGAGACATGCTTTCAATCTCCTTTTCTGGAGAAGAAGCCACTGGAGTCATAAACTGATAAGAACACTCAAATTATAGTTTTAATTTATTGTTGGAGGCTGAGTGTGGACTACCATGAGAACGAGAAATTCCTGTGAGCCACAATCTTGATGCTCAAAACTCCAAAACCTCAAATACTTTCTTGGGCTTTTCCTGCAGGAACCACACTAAATTCACATGTTGAAAAGTCAAAAAATATCTTCTGTTCTGGGAGGAGAAGGAGAAAATTAGCCGTGTTAAATACTCGTAGAGTATTCTCCACACACACACACACAAAAGTTTACTCTGTAAGGGTAAGACTTTACTGGAGCCTTACTCACCTAATGATAAGGAAGGCATAAGGAAGCCTTTCCTTCCACTCCAGCATTGCCTGGTCTTTCTGTGACATTTAAGTGGAAAAAAAATCTAAGAACTGTAACTTGTGAAAGTTACAGTCTATGTCTAAAGATCCACTAAAAGACTGAGATTTAATCATGATACTGTAGAATGCTTTTCCTCCCTGACTCCTTACCATCACATCAATAAGGATCCAGTATAACAGTGTTATTTCTCAAAGAGCTGTAAGATAGACTCTATCTAAAGAGTTCGGAGGGATACTAAACACAACAGGGGAGACAAAAACAAGGGCACTCTAGGCATTCGAATTCTCTGGCACCTACAACTACAACAAACAGTAAACATGGCCCTTCTCCTAGCCACATTATCATAAAACCCCACACTAAAGGTCTACTTACCTCAGTTTCTAACACCTACTTCATGCATCACATTTGACTTTCAACCAAAAAAAAAATTACAAAACATAACAAAAGGCAAGAGAAAATGGTCTGAAGACAAAGCAAACATCAGATAAGACTCAGCTATGACACAGGTGTTGGAATCATCAAGGAATTTAAAATAACTGTTACTAATATGTTTGGTATGCAATAAAAAAAGGTAGAGAGCCTCATAGAACAGACAGGTACATTAAAAAGAATGATAAAACCTTCATGAAAGGAAAATGCTAGAAATCAAAGCCATAGTAACAGAAATGAAAAATTCTTTACAAGGGATCATCAGCTGACAAAAGTTAACATGAAGATAAATCATTATACATTTTCCAAACAGAAATGCAAAGAGAAAAGAGAAAAAAATTATTAGAAAAAAAATATAAGAATCAATAAATGTAACTTATATATAATTAGAATAGCAGAAGGAAAAGAGAGAAAAGGACAGAGGAAATATTTGAAGGAATAATGGCTGAGGATTTTCCAAAATTAATGGCCAAACTAAATCATAGATCTAGAAAGCTCATAGAACACTGAGAAAGATAAACACCAAACTATCTAAGCATATTAAACTCAAACTTCAGTAAAAAAAGACAAAGAGAAAATTTTGAAAGAAGTCTTCAGAAGAAAACAAAATAAAACTTTTCAGGAAAAAGGAAAAGAATAATGAAAGACTTTCCTTCTAAAACTATGTTATCAAA